CTGACTACCTTCACAATGAAAAATGTTCCCTTATGTTTAATTGGAACTTTCCATTTTTCAGTAGCTGCCTATCACCCCTTGCCCACGCACTGGGTGCTAATGAGAGTCTGGCTCCATCTTCCTTAGTTCCTCTCACCAGGTATTTATACACGGTGACAATTTCCCCCTGAGCTTGCTCTTCTGGAGGTGAAATAAATCCATCTCTCTTGGACTCTCCTGATATATCAGATGCTTCAAACTATTAAATCATCTTAATCCTATTACTGAGAAGGTCAGCGGAGGATTTGAGGACATGCATCTTTGCTGCTTCTCCTTTTACAAGAAGAAAAGAATGATTACTTTCTACTTTTCAGTATTTATTAAAGCAAGATGCAAATTTCATACAAAACTAAAGTACCAAACAATAGAAACTAAGAATCTTTGACATGCAAAAAAAATTTGAAAGAATTTCCAAATTCTCACATTTTAAAAACATTAATATTTATCTTAAAAAAAAAAAAAAGGCAAAAAGGAATGAGCTGCAAGTTTCTCTTACATGTAGACTTGGTCACTCCAATTTTGCACCCACCATTTTGGAATTCTCTTTTTTGCTGGCTTTATTTTGTTTTGGCAGAGGAGGGAAGGGAACTCTACACCTCGAGTGAGGGTCCATGGAATGCTTTTTTTTGATAAATTATAATCACAAAGCAGCATGAAGCCTTGAAGCTGTTAGATGTAAAAATAAGGATAGTACCTTCTGGGGAAATGTAAAAAACACACTAGATGCCAAGAACAGAACTTAGAAACCACTTAAGTAAGGTAATTTAAATGATCCACATACTACATGATAGGGTGACACAGGCCTGTATTTTGGAAGGTGTAAAAAGGTCTCAGGAACCCAAACACAGTTTTTCCTTATGTTCTGATAATCTCACTGTTAATGTGAGAAACCATGAGCAAGCAACAAGTCAATTGTCTCTGTATCAAAACTTACTGCCCAGCCTTACTGTGTTTCTCCATCACAACTTTCTTTTAAGTCTTATAAAAGAAAGTTATTTGCAAGCAGGTCAAGTTCTTGAACACTTATATGGCAGTTTAATTAAATTTATTAAAGACAAGATGGTGAGAAGAATATCAGAGTTTCAGGTTCACTGAATTATTTAAGACAACTAATAAGCCATGTAGCAAACACAGGAATATTGATGGAAATATGGAAAGTATTTTAAAATGTATGCATGTCTGTATGTGACTAAGACTACTAGAGCCTACATTTGGACTATTCCTAAGTGTATGTACAAATTTCTGACTTGAATCAGTTAAATTATGGAGTTCCTCTTCCTGACTATCCACACAAATGGACTAGTGTGGCTCCAAATGTATAAAAGAAATAGTTATACATCTTCACATATTGAAGAATTTTTTTGGTAATAAATTTCAAAATATAAGCTTATTTGGATAGTGTATATTTTAAAAATATATATTAAAAGTTAGCTTTCAATCTTTAAATACATATGACAAAAAGCAGACCCATAAATAGCAAATGACCGAACATTAGAGTTTTCCAGATTACCTGAAGTGCTACGTGCTACGGGACTTAAAAGGATGCGTTAACGTTTAGTTCCTCAGTCAAATAACCAGGGGAACAATTGTACATACAGCCAAAATCAATCATTCTAATAGTAGGAGTTCAAAGACTCCATTTGACTCTTTGGAAGTTACCCAATTAATAAATATATTTTTCATTTTAAATTTCACTGTCATAGGAAATCAAAACAGCAGTGACAAAAGTTCTTTTGATAAATGAGTTTTAGTACTAATGTAATGCAAATTAGTTTTGCCTTCAGCAAATGATGGAGATACCAAAGCTTCCATTTAAAGAAAGAAGACTTATGCAGGTATTTACATGAATTTCATTAGCATTCCATTATGTGTTTGTGACAACAATATTAGTATTATTTTGAGAACTGAAATACTGTGGCTGTATCAGGTTTCAGCATGTTGAGCTGCCTAGTCACATAAATTAATAGTGATATTATCAGGAAGACAGATGAGGATCCTTCATCAACAGGAAATTATAGAACAGAGAGCATGCATCCTGTATCCAGTAATTTTAATATTCATGATGGATTTTTTTTTTAATGTCCGTGAAGGTTTGGGTGGCAGCATGGGACTCCACTGCTTAAAGCAGGAAGGGCTGCTGCTATCACATGCACAGCCCCTCAGCCTTCGGCATCCCAGAAAGCCTGAGCAAACCCGCCACCCAGTGACTCGAGCTGAGAACTGCCAGAGGTGGGAGCGGTACGCCGGATAAAATCCCCTTGTTGACACAGAAAGGAGAAAAACCCTTAGTGTAAGAATATGATAATGTATGAATGAAACAGAAATGCTAGAAGTGCATATTCCTGTTAATCACAACCTATATAAACCTTTCTGATGGAGTAGTTGAATGTGTAAAACTTCTGCATTTGCTATTACTTAAGGGCTGAATTGCCAAATAAGTACAGATTCCAAATCCAGACTTGAAATGCAATCCTACTGTCCTCTCTGTCCTGAGTGATGAAGACTGAGCTGACCGTGGAAGAGGATCAGGGATTATCTGTACTTGCTTTGCATTTGAAAGCCCAGAAATATGGTTTAGAAATGCAAAACAAGAAGCTGTCGCTGCTAAAATAATTTCTACCAGCACTGACCAAGTGCAAAAGGAACACAACAAACCAAGAAGTATCTTTCAGGAACATAAGTTACACACTGAAAAATAAATTAATTGACACTTGGATCTAACCTACTTAACCTACTATCTCAGCTAATTAAGAGTTGCTCTTCAGCTTCTTCTGCATCCTGTGGAGTATCCATCTTCATGATCTATTGAAAGAGGTAATCTTACAGCACAAGATTCAACACCCACACAAAGTGAAGCACCTCTTTCTCGCTCTCTCCAGACTGCAGCACTTTAATAAAGTGCCTAAAATAGTTTCAAATCGATTATTAATCAGAATTTGGGTGAGGAGATGCAGGATCACTGGGCTATCTGGAAGATCAAACAGGTGTCTGGGAACCTAATCATTAAGTCAGTCTTCACAGACAATTACACCTTACACACTTGCTCTGAGGCCCTTACTTGGCCGCAGGTTTGTTCACTTGAAATGCTTTCCCATAAAGTGCCCTAAAATTGGGATTACATTTCAGAATTAATTTCCCCTAAAAGAAAAAAATCCAATTTCCTTTTAATCTCATTATTAAAAGCAAAACCCAAAAGTGTATGTCAATTATATAAAAACTGTTGTTCAATGTATAACCAACAGTGGAGAAAGTTCAGGGTCATTTCTCCTGCATTACACAGTCTTGCATTACAAAGTCCTCTGGGTAAAGGTATTCTTACCTTCCTTTCACACCAAAATCACTGGTTCATCAACACTTTCAGCCTGATTTTTTCTTTCACGGAACACAGTTTCTTTGTGTGACTTTTGTCAGGTAGCTAAAAGCAATCAACTACATAAAATTTGATAAAACCAGGGTGGTTTTATTTGCTCTTTTACAAGGAATACATTTAATGGGGCTTCAGTCCTTAAGCTCTCGTTTTGGCTGACACTCAGACTCATTCCAGCCTTTATCTAAGGACAAATTAGATTGCCATTAGTAGGTGATTCAAGCTTTTTCAAGATACTCCTATGGACTGATTAGTACGAAGTATAAATACAAACCTATCAAAAGCATGGCCTAATAGCTCCATGCAGGAAATGTTTTGAATGGTGCTAGTGTAGAAGTGTACATCTACATATTCTGTAATTCCTGAGGCAACAAAAAATACACTGCAAACTGCTTAGTACCCTGCTGTAAGTTTGGACATACACTTTTGGGAGGTTTATTGCAGAAAACGCTTTATGTCTTCGAGGTTTTAAAGTTTTTCATCTGATTTTAGCCATACTTCTACTGGATTGCTGGACAAGGACTTGTTCTGTCACTGGAAGTGAGCAGTGTGACTTTTTAGAGCTGTTTAGAACTCAGCAAATGAGCATGCTGAGGCAACTCTGACTCCTCAGAGGACAGGTTTGTTCCAAATCCGACTAGAATAGTTATGCTTGAAACATCTTTTCACATGGAGATAAACAGACATTGAAAGAGAGAAAAAGAATCTCTTTGTCCATGGAAAATCAAATAATATTGCAAGCTTAAGAGAAAGACTTCAGGAGACACTGTTCTATGGTACACCATTTTGAACATGGAGCTGAAAGTGTCAGATACTACCATTAGTCATTTTTTCTCTCCATATCCACAGTTTCTCTTGGGAGTGCAAAAAACCAAAGGTATCTAAATTTGAGGATATTTCTATCATATAAACCCTGAACAACAGAATAAATATATACGTTGGCAACCACTCTGAGGTTGTCACTGATTATCTGGTAAATTAAGATCTGATTAGACGTAACCAGAAGGGATTTCTACTCGTGGTATTAATTCTGAATAAGCTTGATAGAAGACTGTAAAAAGATAACCATACATGCAAACACGAAAGATCTATGATTCCTCTTTCTATGTGCCAAAACTTGTGTCTTTGTATTAACTTGTTTAGCCTTCACACACACTATTCTTGCTCAGTGTTTACAGACTGTGTGACTCCTACCCACCATCTGGCCCGGTCTTGTGCCAAATTCCAGAAATGTTGATGAGAAAAACATGGGTAAGTAGAAGTGAATGTATACGGACACTTTTTTGAGATAATTTGCACCCTGTTTACAATCAGGCTACCTACTTACCAGCTATATTCGCTATTCATCAGAGTGGGAATTAACTAAAGTACCAAAATACTTACATCAATTTAGGTGTCTGATTTCAGGGATCTACCTGCAAGTGTCTACATGTCTGTAAGGTGTTTAAATTGTAACTTTATTTTATGTTCTTAGCCTAGTGCGTCTTTCTAGACCTGAATCAACACAGCAGAAAAAGCAAAACAGAGAAGACAGCTATTAATGATAACGAAAACTAGGGTTTAACGCATTAAATACATATCTATAGTAACTTACCATGACATTCCTTTCATAATGTTCATGCTCTTTTTCAAAATCGATTACAAAGCCATTTAGAGACCAAATAAATGTCAGGTCCAATGTAGGATCATGGGATGCAATGCATTGCATGGTAGCATTCTCTCCAACAGTGACATCAACATTCAGCGGAGCTAAAGTAATCCTTGTAGCTTCTGTGAAGTTAACAGCAAACATGGAAAATTCTGACAAATAAATGTTTATCCAAATGCAAGCCCAGCTCCATAACTGATGATACATTAAACTGCTCCCTCAAACTCTAGTTTACATTTTATTCATGCAGTTATATTTCAAAGGGCCAAACTAAAGAGAACAAAGGAAACCTTTTACAGTTGAAATGCCTAACTTCTATTTAGCTGTCCTTTGAAAATGTGTGGGTTTCGGTCTCTGAATCACATTACTGACTATTTAAAGCTATTTTTATTTATTGACTGTATCTCAGGTAGAGAGAAGACAGATGATGACTTGTGTTATGTTTCTTGTTTTAATTATAATATTTATGTTTTAAAACCTGTCTCTAACAAATGGAAAGTTCTACTCAGTTGTCAGGCTGAGTCAGACTTCCATTAGAGCATTTCAGGAACTGATATCTTAATTTATCTACTGAGAAACAACATAATGGATGTATAACAAACAATGCAAATAGCTATGTGTGGAAAGGAGGAGAAAATAACACAACAAAAGGAAGAAAGCTGTCTATCCACCAGCAATGTCTCGTATTACTACAAAAACAATAACAACAAGAAAAAGGCAGAGATCCCATGCTACTTGCTAGAGCTCTGGGTACACGCATCAAACTCATATGGCAGATTAGCAACACTTTTCTGGAAAGGACTCACTGGATCTCTGAGACCTGTTCCTTTTCTTTCAATTATTATCATAAAATAAAAAAACCCACAAAATACCTTCCTTATGCCATAACATAATATCTTTCCCACTAATATGAGAGAGGGAGTAGGGCACCAAAACCTGAAAGACAGTACCCAGAAGAAAAGAGCTTTTGCTACTCGTTAAGCCCTAGGTTCAAGTGTGCTCCAACGAGCACACTACATCCCACCACACACAGATCAGCAAAAGATCTCCAATAAATCCAACATTCCTTGTCAATCTGTGTTGGAGAGAAACCTTTCCCTA